TTCATAAAAAAAAAAAATAATACTATAAATGTAATTTAATTAATAATATAAATTTCAATGATATATTATTATATATTAATATAAAATAAAGAGTCAGTTACTGACCGGTGAGGACGCTCTGAATCAGATCTTCAGTCTTTGCCGCTGGTTTGGTTGAGCCTGAATCACAACGGGATAAAATCTCATCAGATAAGATTCATGCATATCCAGTAATACTCCTCAGTTTTGTGGACAGTAGGTTTGGATTAGCAGTGGATGGTATGGGTTTATAGCTCAGTATCAGCTGAGATGATGCTGTGTGAAGCTCTGACCTGTGGACTGCGGCTGTGGGCTGATCTGGGACGCGGGTTTCGGAGCGGCGCTGGGCGCGTGACTCAGGCCGTTCTCAACCGGGACGGGTTTGGGTTCGCTTTTAACCTCCGAAGGGTTTTCAACACCAGGATCCACCTGGAGAACAACACACTTCATCATCAAAACCTCCAATACTGTTCAGTTTCACAGCGACAGAATTCATTACAATGACTTCATTCATCAGTAAATGAACGAGTGATGTGATTAGAGTTCAGATGGAGTAATTAGTGAAGTAATCTGAGCTGCTATCTGATGGTCATATTCTATCTGGAGATCTGGAGACGTCTCTACCTCTTTGGTGTCTTTCTCCTCTTCTCCCTCCTCTAGAGTGAGCGCCGCCAGCTGTTTGGATCTCTGCTCCATCAGGTTGACGTATCTGATGGGGTTGGACAGCGCTTCGATGACATCTGATCAGCACAGAAACACACACCGTTAGTCAGTCCCTGCAAACTCACAACACACTCCAGTCCTGAAGCTTCCACTTCAAAAGCATCAAGAAATTCAAAAATGTTATATTTGATGTTATTTATGAAATAGGATTAACAGCTTTTGGTTAACAATTATAACTTTTTTCACAATATTTTGCAACTTCAAACCTTTCAGAAAGCATCCAAAATAATAGAAAAAGAAATTCAGAAATATTGTATTTGATTTCATATGACATTTGCGTTTTAGTTAACAATTATAACTTTTTCACAATTAAAAAAAAAAAAAACATCCAAAATAATAGTAAAATAAATTAAAAATATATTATTTTTGATTTTATATATGACTTCAGCATTTAATTTAGTTAATAATTAACAGTTTCTAGTTAACAATAACTTTTTTACAAAAAAAGTCTTTAAACATTTAAACCTTTAAAACATCCAAAATAATAGCCAAGTAAATTAAAAAATGTTATATTTCATTTTATATATGACTTTAGCATTTTAGTTAATTATAACTTTTTCAAACTTTTATCGACTTAAAAATCTTAAAAAAAAAACATCCAAAATAATAGTCAAATAAATGTAAAAAATATTATTTTTGATGCTATATATTATTTCAGCATTTAATTTAGTTAATAATTAACAGTTTATAGTTAACAATAACTTTTTCACAATATTTTGCAACTTTAAACATTTAAACCTTTAAAACATCCAAAATAATAGCCAAAGATATTATATTTCATTTTATATATTACTTTAGCATTTTAGTTAACAATTATAACTTTTTCACAAGTTAAAAAAACATCCAAAATAATAGTAAAATAAATAAAAAATATATTATTTTTGATTTTATATATGACTTCAGCATTTAATTTAGTTAACAATTAACAGTTTCTAGTTAACAATAACTTTTTCACAATATTTTGCAACTTTAAACCATTCAAAAACATCCAAAATAATAGCCAAAGTAATTAAAAAATATTATATTTGATTTTATATATGACTTTAGAATTTAGTTAACAATTATAATCTTTAACAGTATTTTGCAACTTTGAAACTTTCCAAAAAACATCCGAAATAACATAATAGATATTATATTTGATTTAATATATGACACGGGATTTTTTATTTAGTTATCATTTAATAATTATCAGCTTTTACATAACAATTATAACTTTTTCACAATATTTTACAACTTCAAAATAACTTTTACATGACATTAGCATTGGTTTGCCTCTTTTAATTTGCTCATACATACGTAATATCTGAAGCTTCAGTACACGTGGAAACCCTTAATTAAGAGACATTTTGGAAAATATTGATTTCTTGGCATTTTATAGGTAATAACATCTTTTAAAAAAGCCAAAAATCACCTTCATTAACATAAACAAAGAGTTATATTCAACATTCTCTAATGAAGAACTAAAAGTCTGACTATTATAAACAATCATTGGATGTAATTTACATCAAATCAAACATCTGACATCTTCTGTTGGGTCTATATCACTTTTGATAGAATATTCAAATGCATATTTGCATATTGAATGAATGATGCCTCATTTTTTACTTTAACAGTTTTCATAAATGAAGTCACTTTGTTTTCATGTGACTTTAATAAAGCAAATTAATAAAGCATTTTTTTTTTAATGAAAGAAAATTACAAATTTGGAAACGCTCCTCACAAAAAACACTGTGGTACAGGGAAGGTATCAGACGGTAATACCACGGTACTTTGATATATACCATAGTACTGAATGATTTTCAGTCATAATTCACACCAAAATAAATATGCGTCATATATTTGGTAAATAATTCAAAGAAGGCTGATGGTAATTTTTTTTTTTACGCAAAATGTGATTCCTTAATTATGATCCAGACTGTTTGTAAGATTCACTCATATTTACCATGGTATTCATATGCTACTGCTACTGAGAGGCTATTTCACAGCACACCACAGTAATACTATGGTACTTTTAGTGTTTTTTTTTTTTTACAGTGGCAGATCCTAAAAGAGAATTAAAGCTGTTTCAGGTGGCAGATGATTATAGTAATTAATTTCTTACCGGCGAATGTATCAGGAACATAGTCTTTCACCTCGATATACACAAATATAGCAGGAAGAGTCAGCGCTTGATTCTTTTCATTTCTCAATCCGATGTAACGATAACCTGTGAGAATATGACAAAATTATGTGTTAGCAAATAAAAGAAAAACGTTTAACCAAACCTGCATTTTCATGTCGCAAAATGTCTTGTTTTAATACAATACAATACAATGCCGTTTTTATGTTGCAAAATAATAATAATAATAATAATAATAATAATAATAGTAATAACAATACTGTAAATTCTTATTAGTATATGATCCACTCTGAAACACCAGCATTCAAAGTCACTGAAAACCCAATAAATCAGTGATTCTAAACCAGGGGGATGGGGATCACTAGGGGGCCTCAGCAAACATCCAAGAGGGCCTCAAGATGACCAAAAAGTTTTTATTTTAAATTAATACATTATTATTAATATAATATACTAATCTAACTCTATCTAAAATGAACTCTAATCAAAATTAAAATGCTAAAAACACATAAAAGTAAAACTAAATCTGCATTTTCATATTGTAAAATGTATTGTTAATAGTAATTAAAATAATAATAATAATACATTACTATTATTAATATATTAAAATAATGTAATCTTAATAACTGCAATCTTAATAACAATGCTAAAAAGCATAAAATCAAAATATAAACTGAAATCATATTTTATTTCCCCCTCACAATACAATACTATAGAAGCACAACTATAATGATAATAATAATAATAATAATATTATAATAAATTAAAATAATATAGCACTAAATTAAATGCTAAATGCTAAAAAATCACATAAATTCCAAACAAACTGAAATCATTTTTATATTCCCTCACAGTAAAATACAATAAAATAAAAAAGTACAACAGCACATAAAATAAAAATGTAAACTGAATAACTATCAATATTACCTTATTTTACTCTTTTTTTTTTTAATTGAACAACAATTCTTGAATCACAATAGATCGCAGTTCATCAATTTTATGTGTTTTGTGTGTTTTTCCTCTTTATTACAAGTTATACATCAGAAGGCATGAAAAAAAACAGTATAATGAAACGAATGTACTCATTGTAATCGAAAAGATGATTGATTCTCATGCCGCTTTAACTGAGGCGAATACAGCGATCTGTCACGTCACATTAAAGAGCATGAAAAACACATTATTGTAAGAAATATTGTTTGTATTTCGCTATAAAACTGACAGAATTTGAAAGCTGAGGCTTTGTTTTATATCAAAAGTGCCAAAAGCACAAAGGTTATTGCTTTGAAATGCAATCGAAGACGTGAAGTATTATTTCCAAGCATACTGTCCCTGCGAGTATATGACACATGCTATGATTTCTGCTATTAATCCAACATACATTCAAATAAGTTGCCAGGTCACTGGAATTTCTCCCGGGGCTCCCAATCCGGGCCATTTGCATGCACAATACTCTCACAATATTATAACTTTAATCTCGTAATTGCTACAGCTTAATTCTCGTATTTTGACTTTATTCTCAAAATATTTTGACTATATTCCCGTATTGCTACGACTTTATTCTAGTAATTTTTCTTTTTTTTCTCAAAATATTTTCATAATTATCATTTTAAAAATTATCTATAATTTTTTTTTAACGTGGCACTAAAACGCCGTCGTACATAATGCTACGCCTTTATTCTCAAAATATTATGACTTTAATCTCATATTGCTATGACTTTATGCTCAACAATATGGCTGCGTCTTTATTCTCGTAAATTTTATTTTAGTCTCAAAATATTATGACTTTAATCTCGTAATCTTATTTCTATATTTATTTGTTTTTTTTTACTGAATTTATGTTTTTTTTTTTTACGTGGCACTAATCGCCATCGTAGATCTTGTCTGGGTGTTTAACTGCAGAATGTTGTTCCTTGCGCCACCTTATGGATATAGTGTGAAGCACAACAATGTTTAAAAAATCTGAAAAAGCGCCTGCATGGAGCTCCGTGATCATGCGTGACGAATTGCGTGCTGCCACGAGATAAAATGTGCATTCTTAATGGCCACATCTGTATATTAATACTTCCCAGTTTCTGTTAATAAATGAAACTTGAAAACAAGAAGCTTTGTCATCTTTTAGCCTATATGGAGGGGGTTTTCAACTCAAAAAGGTTGAAAACTCCTGGTTAAGTCTGTATTTATTAAATGCAGGTTTGTCGCCATCATGACCCTTAATGCAACACTATCTTTGCAATGTGAAGGTTAAATAAATTCAAGAAAGAAAAGACCGATCATATGTCAGTATGCAAATACTGTGATGACATCATCACTGTTTATTAAAACATAAACAACAGCATATTTCACGCTGAAATGAGTCTATAATTCCAGTGGCTCAGGTTGATTCTCACCCGGACGAATGGCTGAGACGGGGATGATGCGATGGCCGATGAACTTGCCGCCCTCTTCATACACGGCTATCCTGAGGGATGCCAGCGTGGGCAAAACCACCTGACCCATAAACAACACCGTTAATGATTTCATGCTCTCAGAGCGACTGAAGAATGCTCACAGAAACAGCCGTACTTTTTTAAAGACGCTGGGCTCCTCGTCCCACACAGGGTTGATGGCATTGCTCTGGGACGTCTTTGTCTTGAAAGCTTTTCGTCTGGTGTCGACGGGGAGTCCAAACATGTCAATCTCCATATAAACACCCACCTTCTTGTCAGTCAGAAACTGTCCTGATATGATCTGAAGAGACATTGAGATATAGATGACATGTAAACACATAACCAGAGCTCAGGAAACCAGTATACAATGACAATACATCAAGGGTGTAGGTTTGATTTTGGCATTGGTGGGGACATAACCGCTGACAACAGACATTTAATTGTTTGATCAAAATTACTACTAGGGACAATTTAGTCCAGGGTTCCTCAGTTAGTTTTCGCCGAGGGCCAAATTCTGCCAACGATACCAAGCCAAGAGCCACTGACCAATATATATATATAAATTATTATTATTATTACAATTATTGTATTATTGTTGCTTTTGTTAAAATAATCAAAAGATGGTCACAAGATAAATATTCAGATTTTTTCCCCAGTAGTCTGTTTTATTCAAAATATTCTGATCTTTTCCCCAGTAGTCTGTTTTATTCAAACAATTATGAAAATTTTTGCATTTAGATACAGAAGAACTTTGACAGTTGAATATTAAAAACAAATGAACAAATAAAATCTGGATCTCCATGTCTGCCATGCAAGTCAACTGTTCCTGCTCATCTCCAGACTGGATCTCTTCTCTCCACTTTCCCTAATTGCAGATTTAATTATTAAATCTGTCAGCATTAATATTTTTATACTTAGATGTTTTTGGGGGATCAAACTGTAACACCGTGTGTCCCAACCAGACACGACGCGATAAAAAGTATCTTTTCCATGTAGTTTTTGTCCTAACCACCCGTGACAGCGACACGTGACAATAAGCGACACGGAATACTATTTTAGAAATGTTTTTTATTTTCTGTGACGTCGCGGCAGGAACAACATACTCACTGCGAACCAACATCCATAACAAAGATGGTATCACTTACTCAAAACTGTTCAGTCCATTCACATTTGAATCATCTATTTTCAGTGTCCACTTTTCTTTACTTCACACTTGCCATGTTTTTGCTGTCACATTGTATATCTACACTGGACGCGACAAAGCATTGCAAATCATCTGAACGTTGTGTCAGCACGTCATAAATAGAATGAGTCAGCAGTTTTTTGTCGGGGATTTGTCGCGCCGCATCCAATGTAGACAGCATCACTGGTTATAATAAGTTCTATTGTATTTTGTTGCGTCGCGCCGTGCCGCTCGCATCCGGTGTAGACACGATGTAAGTTAATGTCACTTTCTGATGCTGCGTTTGAATTTTCATGCCACATTATTTGAAATTAGCGCGGGCCAAACATTTTTCTCTCGCGGGCCGCCTATTGAGGAACCCTGATTTAGTCGCTGGTATATTGGCAGGGACATGTCAGAGCATCTCTACTAAATTCTACACCCTTGAAAATCATAACAAGACTTTGGAGAATAGGAAAATATAACTTCATTAAACTGTTTCCTGCTAGCTCAATTTCACATGCATAAACAAAATCTGGCTCTAAACTGTTCTTTTCATTATTCAAAGTTGATCTAGACAAGTACATGGAAACTATCTAAAGTTCTGTTAATCCTAAAGCAGTCAAAACTGCATCTCTATATTCATCATTCAGTACTGTATGTGTCCTGACAACAATCCCTTACAAAAATGAACCATGGTTTTACTCAAAAAAACTAAACAAAACATGGTTACTATAGTTAAACCATGGTAACCACATATTAACTATGACTTTGCTACACTAACCATAGTTTAACCATGGTATTTGTAGCAAAACTTTGGTTATACAAAAAAACATGATTTACATTACATTTACATTTAGTCATTTAGCAGACGCTTTTATCCAAAGCGACTTACAAAATGAGGACAATGGAAGCAATCAAAATCAACAAAAGAGCAATGATATGCAAGTGCTCAGTTAGTTTAACGCAGTACACGTAGCAAGTTTTTGTTGTTGTTGTTGTTTTTTTTTTTTTAAGAAAACAAGCAGTTAGTAAATTAATAGAGTGCAAGTCTAAAAGGGGCAAGTTTTTTTTTAAAAGAATAAAATGCTAGAAATGCGGAGAGTGCTACAGTTAGAGGGTCAAATAAAAATGGAAGAGTGTGTTCTTAGTCGTTTCTTGAAGATGGCTAAGGACTCAGCTGCTCGGTTTGAGTTGGGCAGGTCATTCCACCAGGAGGGAACATTTAATTTAAAAGTCCGTGAAAGTGAGTTTGTGCCTCTTTGAGATGGCATAATAATGCGTTGTTCACTTGCAGAACACAAGCTTCTAGAGGGCACATAACTCTGAAGTAATGAATTTAGGTAAAGGGGTGCAGAGCCAGTGGTGGTTTTGTATGCAAACATCAATGCCTTGAATTTTATGCGAGCAGCTATTGGTACCCAGTGCAAATTGATAAACAGAGGTGTGACGTGCATTCTTTTCGGCTCATTAAAAATTAATCTTGCTTCCGCATTCTGGATTAATTGTAAAGGTTTGATAGAACTGGCTGGAAGACCTGCCAAGAGAG